CCTCTGTTTTCCTCCCAAATGGAGCTTGCTTTGTCAATTTGGGTGGGGAAGGGGGAAGCCCTGGAAGCGGTCCCGGGTGTCACTGCATCCTCCCCTGCCTGGCCAGCCCGTTCACTGCCCTCCCATCTGGCTGTGCCCCTGCCCCATTCCCATCCCTGCTCCTGCTGTGGCTTGGCTCTCAAGCGCTGCGAGGGCAGGCACGCTGCTGAAAAAGAAAGCAAGAGCCAAGTGGCTTCTGGAAGGCCGGAGGCATCTGCAGGCCGGCAGATGCTGCTGGCGCCCAGCGTTTCTCAGGACCAGTTGCACGGACCTCAGGAATGTTTATTTGCATCCTGGCCTCAATCCCAGTTGGGATCTTTGGATGCTGCCGCTATATGAATATTTATTACAACAGATGATTATCTTTTCTTGCTGCACACCCTTAGTTTGCATCCCGGTTTTGTGCAGTTCTTCTCAAGAGCCACATTTTCCTATTACTCTGCTTTCCACTGTACTCTTGTGCTGTGTTGTGATATAACCAATTATACATAAAAAGAATAATCTGGGGATGGACTCTTGGTTTTTCAATTGCAGTTTTCTCTCTTGGGGTTTTGTTCTCCTTTAAGCTGTGTTCAGTGACAGACAGCTTCATTTGCTCAGATGTCCTTTGCCCTCCGAGGTTTAATGTATTTATTTAGAAGATGAAACTTACTGTCAGTATTTGTATAGCACCCTCTGGAGTCTGAGTTCCTCAAAATCTAGAAGTACATGATTTGTTTCACTAACAAATAAACCCTATTAATTAAAAGATTTTTAGCAAATTGGCTGAAGTTACTCAGTCTCTGCCGTAGCAGTTGTTGAAATCCCCCATATTTAATGGCTGTTTCACATTTATAGTGCCAGAAAAGACTTCTTTGGGGGTTTTTTTATGGTGCAACCACCACACTCACATTTCAAGGTTAATTCAGGAAACTCGAAAGCTTACTCCATGTCTCCAGCGCACAAGGTGTTATACTCAGCCTGAGTTCAGACTGAGCTTTTATTTCAAAAATCCCGCCATACAGTGCTGTATAACAAGAGTTGCCACCTGTTGAAGATTATTTCCAGTCTCCTGGGACCAAAACCAGCCTGGGTGAGGGAGCACTGAGGGCTGCGTTGTCTGTCCCACCCGATCGCTAGGCAGGGCTTGTATGCAGCATCCATGACAAGTGTCTTTCCAGGTGGGGTGACGGGACGGTTTTCAGGGAAGGAGGCGGAGATGCTGAGCGGCTGAACTCTGGCAGGAAGGCTGCAGTGTGTTATTATTTTCCACCCCTCACAGTATGCTGCAGAGCTGCTGGCAGTGGTGCGCCTCCCCTTCATCCATCCCAGCTATCTGCTAAACGTTGTTGACAACGAAGAGTTGATAAAGTCTTCGGAGGCTTGCCGGGATCTAGTGAATGAAGCCAAACGTTATCACATGTTGCCACACGCCCGACAAGAGATGCAGACGCCGAGGACCCGGCCCAGGCTCTCTGCAGGTAAAGGAAAACTTCCTTCAAAGACACCAGCTCCCTGGTCCGGTGGTTCCTGGGCATGGCCAGGACATGCCCTGGGATGGGGCACGGACCTCGGCTCCTTCCCTTGGTGCCTTTCTCTGAGCCTCGTGATGTTTCAAGCTCCATTTTCCATTGCTGCTTTGCTTGAGTGTTTAGGAGCCTCTCCCAATGGTCAGACATGGGTGTGGAGATGTACAATCCTGAAACTAGATTTCAAGGAGCCTAATTTTTAAGAATTACTAGTTTTGGCAGAGACCGTGATATTCCCCTGTTGTCCTGAAAGTGAGCCCCTTGCCTTCCGTGCCTCAGTTTCTCTAGCTGCAAAAACAGGTGAATAGTAACATTTGCTTTTTGCCATTCAGCCTCTTGCAAGGAGCAGCTGATGAATATTCATAGAACAGCTTTACTTTCACAGCCCGATGTAAATATTATTTTCATACAGTGAGTCTTCCAGTACCAGTTCAGGCTGTTTGCGGCCTCCAAAACAAATGGATCACACATGATATATTCCCTTTTGAAAACCCAGCAGCTATGGAGAAGAGTGCTGCTTCAAGAAGTTCCTCGCCTGAGGAATGCATGCATTTTTCTTTTTGGAAAAATACATGAAAATAATCTAAGTGCCCAACTCACCAGCAGAGCCCGTATCATGGTAGTGTGAGAAATATCCTAAATATCTGTTGAACAGCAAGTGGTACAAATACCCTGTAGGAACACTGCATCCAAGGAGTCAGATGAAACAGGTGAGTTGTTTTAACATGCTGCCTGTACTTCTGCCTCCCGTAAGTACAATCACAAAGCCAGGCAAAACTTTCTGTCGCTGCCAGTAATGCTAATGTGGCACGGAGATAGCATATCAAAACCACAACATTTGCAGCTTCTGGAGACTGCCTCATCAAGGCACCTTTCAGAAGGATGAAGTGTAGAGGACTTTCAATAACAATCTACCCTAAAAAGTCTTTCATTGAAGACAACTAATGGTGTGATGTTTGAAGGGATTTTTGAAAAGTGCTTATTTTATGTATATAAAATTGTAGGTGTAATATGAACCATTTCCAGAAGCTTGTTGATGAGGGAAAAGTGATTCTCTCGGGGTAAGAGAGGGTGATTATAGTTTTTTAGGTCAGAGTCTAATTATATAGAATTATGTTATTTTGCATATCAACGGCATTCATGTAGGCACAAAGGATCTCTAAACACCCTTTGTGGTCTCGCTGCAGCATGTCACATGCCCTCTCGAGGTCATTGATTATAATCAAGTTATGTCTTGCACAGGTGATTAGATTTTCTAGTATGGCACAAAAATAATGATCTCTTGTTACCGAGAAATATTTATTTAAAACTGTACAGCACTTTAACTTAATAACTTTTAAGAGAGTAACCTTGCTTGAATGACACAAATATATTTTTTGAAAAAGCTAATGAAGAATGACCATAATCCATTAGTCTGAAGACGCATTTCTCTCCACTGCAGCTTCTAATCTCTGTGCTTCTGCCCCCCCAACCTGTGCACACTTGTCTCTAGGCTGGGCACCCTAACACATCACAGCGATGCGTCTGGCTGCGAGCACAGCTCCCAAGATAGGGATTTCTTCCAGCTCTTGGCCTCATGGTCCTGCTTCTGAGCCTACCCCTCCTGGCAACAGGTTGCACTGGGACCTACAATTGCTGCAGAAAGATTTTTGACACTTCTGCTAAATGCTAAATCCAAACTATTCCCAGCACTTGACTCTTGGGCTTGGAGCCAGAAAACATCCCAGAGTTAGACTGCAATCCATCACTGTGGAGATGAGTCTGGAGTAACACTCAGATCGGATTTGACTCAGCTCTGGCTGTAAAGTGGGAATAAAAACTCTGAGATGTGGATTGCAAAAGTTTTGTCCATTTGCACGAACAGAGAATTTGGCTTGCTGTACACCCTGCATGTTACGGGCTTGGGGAGCTGTTCAAGCACAGATAAATCTCAGTTAATAACTCTGTTAGGGCAGGGACTGTCTCTGTCACATTTCCTAGCATCTAGTACACTAAGATCCTGATCCATGGCTTGAGCACATGTTATCTACATCTGGAAAACCTTCTTTCTCTGGGAAAAGCACAAAAAAAACCCACCAGAAAATGATCTGTTCATAGAGTATGTGGAGGGAGAAAATCAGGATAAAGAACCATAACCATAGCCTAAATCTCCTCCAGACATGAGCTCTTAGTGTGAGAACACCTTCTTCAGGTTAAAGTCCAAACATACTTTCCCTGGACAGTGGCCAAGCTCCAAAGCTATCACAATCCTTGACAAAATTCCCATTTTCTTCAGTGGAACAGGAATTTGCTGCAGGAAGGTCTCACTGAAAGACTGTTGAAGCCAATGGACATCTTTACATGGAAAGGCCTTTTTATTTCTTTCCTCTTCAAGTTTTGCCCAGATGGCATGCTCCCCCCCAAGTTCTCCCAAGCATGTTCGTAGTGTCGTTCTTCACCCACTGCTCTCCCCCCCCCACACACACACACTCCCTTTTTTCTCACCCTTCCTAGTTTGATTGCACAGTCTAAAACAGATTTATATATGATACATTAAAATTACCCTGACTGCCGAGTATTTTTTTATAAGCTCCTGCCTGGTTGAGAGATGGCACTTTTTTATAATATTATTTTTCTTACTTGAATCCTAGGTGTAGCTGAGGTAATAGTCTTAGTTGGGGGTCGTCAGATGATTGGCATGAATCAACGTGCTTTAACAGCAGTCACTTGCTTAAATCCTCAAAACAACAAGTGGTACCCGTTGGCCAGCCTGCCCTTCTATGATCGAGAGTTTTTCAGTGTGGTCAGCGCTGGGGACAACATCTATCTCTCAGGTAAGCATCAGATTTCACTGAAACGTAGAATCACAGAATGTTTTTGGTTGGAAGGGACCTTTAAAGATCATCTCGTCCAACCACCCTGCCATGGACAGGGAGATCTTCCACTAGATCAGGTTGCTCAAAGCCCTGTCCAACCTGACCTTGAACATTTGCAATTAATGGGCATCCACAACTTCTCTGGGCAACCTGTTCCAGTGCCTCACCACCCTCATCATAAAAAAAGAAGTCCAATCTAAATCCACCCTCTTTCAGTTTAAAACTGTTGTCCCTTGTCCTATCACAACAGGCCCTGCTAAAAAGTTTGTCCCAATCTTTCCTATAGGCCCCCTTCAAGTACTGAAAGGCTGCAGTAATGCAGCCTTCTCTTCCCCAGGCTGAACAACCCCACCTCTCTCAGCCTGGCCTCATAGGAGAGGTGCTCCAGCCCTCTGATCATTTTTGTGGCCCTCCTCTGGACCCGCTCCAACAGGTCCATGTCCTTCTTGTGCTGAGGGCCCCAGAGCTGGACGCAGTACTCCAGGTGGGGTGTCAGGAGAGCGGAGCAGAGGAGGAGAATTACCTCCCTTGATCTGCTGGCCACAATTCTTTTGAGGCAGCCCAGGATACAGTTGGCTGCAAACACATTGCCAGCTTATGTCCAATTTTTTGTCCACCAGTATCCCTTAGTCCTTCTCCGCAGGCCTGCTCTCAATCCATTCATCCCCCAGATTTACTGGGCTGGGAGAAAGGTTTCCTCCTTACAACATAAGCCATGCAGGAGTTTCACCCAGCTGCTTCTGGGGGAAAAAAAAAAATGGGAGGGAGTTTGGGAGAGAGGGATTTCCCTGCTTTTATCATTCTCCATTCTCTGCGGTGTTAACATTCTCTCAAAGCAGTCAACAGCAATATTTTGCAGTTGCAACATGAAGAAAATAGGTCTGACAACCATCAAGCATGCAGAGAGGTTTCACTGCCATAGAAACACAATTTAAAATACTGGCTGTAGTTGAGTCTAAATGGTGGGTTATGGAATTTGAGACAGATAGGCTGAACTGCTGAATATGTGACCTACACTTACAGTATTTGCTTACAGGAGCATTCACGTTTTGTACTTGTTGTTGAGACCTCTCTGTTGACAGTAGTCACTGGCCCTATAATCTTCTTAGTTTCAATGAAACTGAGACCACGCTCCTTAAAAGGCTTTAACTCCCAAAGTCTACGCTGCACCCGTAGCATCACGGTGTCTGGTTTTTTGCAGTCTGGTGGTACCTCTGCTTGGCTGGAGGCAATTTCCACCAGGCCATGCAAGGATGCTCTGATGGCAGCTGAGTGGAGGCTTGATGATAAAAAGAGGAGCCTGGGCGGGGAGGTGCAGATGTGTGTGATCCGAGGATGTATTTGGGAGCACGGATGCACCAGGCAGTACCAGTAAGGGATTACAGCTGTTGCCTTTCCTTTACCAAGGCCCCTCACTGCATTTTCTGCAGTAAGTTGCTGCCTGTGGTGTTAAATTCCATTAATACTGCATAGAGGCCCTAAGGATTGATTGGAAATTATTTCTTGATATTATTTTGTCCATGCTCGTTTTGCTGCCGGAGTGACAGCCTTCTATAGAGGCTTTTGTGAGATGTTGACTTTTAGTTATTCTTAGCTGAGGTACTTTCCAATATGTAGAGCCATTTTAGGCTGTGCCATACCATACAGCAAAAGCTGCTGAATCCTAAATTCAAAGCTTATTTCAGCTCTTACCCTTGAATCTGGATGAGCTGATGGTGTTTCGTGGCTACAGTAGGGGAACTGCAAGTCCTGCATGGCTGGAAACCTCGCTGAGTGTCAGTGGATATTTTGCTTTGCTCAAACTTACAAGACGCAGGAAAGAGGGAGGGGGAGCCAACAGAAGTGGGAGTGAACTCCTCCAAACCCAAGTACTGGACTCCACACTGCATAGCATAGGTTTGGAGAGCAAAATACCAAGGAGGAAGCCTGGTTTTCTCATTAAACCACAGAACTGAGTTTAGTTTCTTTTCCTGGCTTGACCTAGTGTGGTCTCAAATAAATCATTTCACCTCTTTATGCTTCAAAATGGGGATAGTAAAGACAGCCACTAAGCGGCTACCTTGAAAGCTTCAGTCAGAAGTTAAAAAATTACCAATATAAATATTTCACTGGAGCATCTTGAACTGTTTTACTGGAGTGGTACAGCTGGTTCTTTCCTTTATCAGCAAATGAAAATAAATAAGAAATTTCTCCCGGAAAATTAGACATTAAGCCTACAGTGCAGGCGCTGACTTTATTCTGCCCATGTATGTGTTGCTTCAATCCATCACTGTATGAAGCATTTTAGATTTCAGAGTGGCCTGTGTCTCGCAAGCCAAGAGAGGCTCTGCTTCCTGACACCTTCTTGCAAGTCTTGCAGTAATTTAATAGACTGGAAGTTATTTATGAACACTGAAAAGGGTCTATCCCCTTATGTACATGTCCCTAGTAGTCTGACATCTTGATTTCTTCATGTCATCTTATTAAAAAAAACCAGCCTTTGGGGCGCATGAATAAATGACACAGATATGCATCATCAGAACAGATGCTCAGTATTGAGGGTGATTTATTTTAATTAGTCAAATGTCATTTGAAGAGTTTTTACTTTGTAACTGGCTTTGATTGCTGTGTGCAAAGCTGCTGCCATTCCAGGATCTCACGTAATTCTCCCCTTCTCTTTCCCACACCCACGCGTCGGTGCCAGGCGGCATGGAGTCGGGTGTCACGCTCGCTGATGTCTGGTGTTACATGTCCTTGCTCGATAACTGGAACCTCGTGTCCCGCATGACGGTCCCAAGGTGTCGACATAACAGTCTGGTGTACGATGGGAAAATTTACACCATTGGAGGGGTCGGTGTGGCAGGCAACGTTGACCATGTGGAAAGGTAATAAAAAAAACCAAAAACCACGCTGTTTGCTGGAGCTTTTTCTTCATGCTATGCTAAAGGACCATTTTCCTTTTAAAGGACACATCAAATGGGCTGGATGTGTTAAAATAAGCTTTTATAACAGCTAAGAAAGGAGGAAACTATGCAGGATTAGATTTCTTTTTAAAGCTTCAGTCGAAAGCATTGTTTCAAAACCAAAGACGAAAGCTGCCGGTTTGTTTGTCGGTTTGCTCAGGGGAGGGAAGAGAAGAATTAAGCTTCTTTGGACACTTTACACAGATTATACAATGAACTAATAAACTTCCTTTGAATTTAGTACTGATGAAAGTCTTTACAGACCACAATAATCCTTTTTTTTTTTTTAACCCCAACAAAAGCAACAGCAAAGTAAGTTTCTCACATGCGCTCTCCTGGTAAAGCACCTCAGCCTTGACCTGGCTGGAAGGAAGATCCTCCCTTTGGTGGTCTTGGCCTGGGGCTGGGACCTGCCAAGCTCCGAGTAAAACAACCAAGAAATGGAAACAGTTTTGAATTCCTGGCGGAGAGGGACTGAATAGAGATGGAAGAGAATGGAAATTTCTCTTTTCAAGAAGACTCAGATATAAAAGTTTTCCTTTCTCACATGAAACTTAAAAAAAAGGAAGGAACAAAAGCACGAAAGAAACATTTCACAAAGTAGAGTTCCAAAACCAACTAATTTCATGTCAACCATAATATTCAATAAACCCATAAATTTTATATGCATATCAATGTTTTCATTAAAAAACAGAAATGCAGTATATAAGAATATTCCATTCCAAAAAAATCAATACAGCCTTAGCCTTACCCAAATACTTACAAATGCTTTTTGACAATAGTTTAATGATACATTTTTGCGAAATGTTTCTCCTTAGTGAATCTGGCAACCAAAAATAGGAGTTCTTTTTCTTTTTGTCAGTTTTAAGTGCTGAATTTGACTACTTCTTCAGCAACATTTTGAAGCAGGCAATTTCCAGTAAAAGTTGCCTTAACAGGTGAGCCAAAAAAGGGATAGGTCATTAAGAAAGACTGGCAAAAAAAAAAGGAACATTTTTCAAAAAGTTAGCATCAAAGATGCTTTCAATCTATTATTTCTGGATTTTGGTGCTGCAACACTTATGTTCCATTTATGCAGGGGGTGTTTATTTTTTCATTTAAGTAGATACCTTAAATACTGAATACCAAAACTTTTATTAAATGCTTAAATAATGTTTCAAAGTCAAAGACACAGGATATTAGGAAATGCCAAAAATAAAGTTTCCTTCTGCAGATCTACTTTTTGATACAATCTTTAATCATATGATCACTTTTTTTTTTTTCCCCAAACAATTTCTGCCTAGTTCAGTGCATGGGACACACCAGTTTGGGGCATATATGCGTGGCCGGGGAGATTGTATCTGGTGCTGAGCGATCACCATTCACACACAGTTTTGTGTTCCTCTCTGTTCACAAATGTGGCACTGTTGTGCCTAGGAGACAAGGATGTGACAGAAGGAAAGGACATGTGTTGCGGGACAAGGTCTGCAGGTAGCCTTCCCTCCCAGCCCACGGGCTGAGGAGCTGACGGTGGTGGGGATACTCTCAGCAAGTCAGGGGTATGCGGGCAGCCAAGGATGAATGATAAATAATAGCAGTGAATGCAACACGTGAGCGTTCCTTCCCTCCTTACTCTGAGCTTAAGGTGAGATTAGGACTTGCTTCAAAGAAAATCTCACCTTTTTATGCAGGGGGTTTTTTTCTGATTTCTGAAGGTATTTGTCCTGTAATTTAAGTCAGTAAGTTTTTAACCAAAAGAAATGTTTTCGTGAACGTGGGAGGGAGCGAGCCCAGGAAAGGGATGCAGTCTTTCATTCCATCTCTCGATAAAGAGGAACATCGAAATAATGCTATTGCAGATGGGTGCCTTGATAGATGTCATTGATTGATGTCTTAATTTTTCCCAGAGTCTCATTTCTTTCTCTGCTCTGATTCTCATGGTCTCTCTTTAACAAAGCATCCAAAACATTGGTCAGCTGAATGAACCCCACATCAAGCAAAGTCTCCCCGTCTCCTTCCTTCTCATGCCAGCCACCCAAGCCCTTGCCACAAATGACATTACAGCCTGCAAAGTCACGCTCCGGCCCTCGGCGTACGCCGCATGGCTCAGTGAGAGCAGCCGTGCTGGTTTTCAGTCATAACAAGCCCACCAAGAGACTTTTCTGTGGGAAAGGAACAGATTTCCTCCCTATCATTTCAGTGCACGTTGCCTCGACCACAATAAGGATGTCTTGTCATGGGGATTTGCTGAACGCGTGGTTATAATTAATCTGCTATTGTCTATAAAGTAACTTGCGAGACGCAGCCATGGAAAAAGTGCAGCATGGCCTCTTTCGGGTTATGCCAAGAAATGAGAGCAGTTTGGGGATGTTTCCTTTTTCATTCTTTGTATTACAATGACGGTGAGGATGGCAGAAGCAAAGCATGGTATGGCTGAGGCTGTTTTGGAAAGGATGTTTCAGGTCTGCTGTTAGAAATGCAGGTGAGAAAAAGCTGACCCTCATGGCTGTACAGAGCAAAGTCAGGCCTTTTCAGATAGAAGCATTTCCCATTTGGACGAGGCAGTCAATTTGTGCAAGTGTTTGGGAATTTAAATCACTGTACCCACTTTTGCAAGGAATGAGGCTTTCTGAATTTGGGTTGCAAAATTTTGGAAAAAAAAAACCAAACCCAAAGTAAAGCCATTTTAATTACTCAGTTGCCTGCAGTCATAAGCAGTTAATGCTCACTTCTTGACTTTGCCCTCTCTTTCTTCCCCCCCCGCCAAGAGCTACAAGCGACCGGCCTTCTCCCACTGTATTTCTGTGTGGCTGCTCATTCCTCCTCAAATATTGTCTTGCTTTGGCTGGGACACGGAGACGCCATCTCTCAGGAGGGTGGAAACTTCTCCGTCATTCCAGCAGATCTTACAAAAGGACTATACTAAAATAATAAGGTGACATGATCATATGCTCCAAGTCAGGTGATGCCAAAAATTACATTTACCTCTGAGGTTAACATCGTTCCCCTCAGCATTGAATTTCAGGATCACATGGTCTTGGGTTTTAGTTTGTTTCTCACCCCAAAGGAGGCATCTGCGATTATTGCCCGGTTACCCACCCAGATGGAGGTGCGGGGGCTCATCGGGGCCTGACGCACGATGCGGTCCTGGGCTGTGCCACCAGTGTGAAGGACAACGCACTGGACGCCCTCCCTCGCTGGGCCACCTGCCACCTCCCCTCGTGCACATGCAGCTTATCTTTCCCAGCCGCATTTTGCTTTCTGCTCGCTCAGTTAGCTCAAGGGTGACCGTGCCCAGCTTTGGCCAGGTTTCGATGCGTATTGGCTGGCGTGGTGGAGGGCACGTCTCCGGTCCGAAGTGACCTACCCTGACCTCACCAGTTAGCAGCCCCAGAGCATGGAGACTGCAGGGTGTCACCACAGAGGGTCTTGGAAGATGGAGAAAATAACATTTTGTCCCAGTTTCCTTCTTGTTCTCCTGGAATTCTTGGAATATTTCATCCTGAATGGTTAAAAACTTACAAAGATGGTTTTATTGCATTTGGTTTCTTAAAAACAGATGTCAGACCATTTTAGCTATACATGCTGCCACCTGACTGCACCTAATACATCTGTCGCACCATTAGAAAGCATTAAAGCAAGTAGGGACCACTGGATTCCTAATGATTTATGGCATCAGCTCCTGTGCTCCTCTCTCCTTGCTTTTGGTTGTGTCACTGATGCTGAAGGGTGCAGCCTCAACCAGAAATTCTGGTGCCACTTAAATCAGTGGGTGTTTTCCCATCAACTTCAATAGGGCTGAGATTTTTTACCCTTTATCTGCCATTTGTCTGTAAAGAGGCAGTAAAAATTCCGGCTCGATGGATAATATTACGGGACTATCACAAACAGACGAGTAGGAGTCATTTGTTACTCATCTTAAAACAGTATGCATGTGCCAGAGGCTCTGAGTTATAAGTCCATTTTTGTGGCTGTACATGGGTATATGTTCAGGGAGAGTTATGTTTTTGGAATGGGTGTTTAGGGAAATAACAGCGCGACTGCAGTTCTCCATCAAGCCCCTCTGGCAAGTTTCTGTGTGACAGGGAGCAAGTCATTAGGTGTTAGGCAAGAGGGTATTACACTTTCTGTCTTCTTCTGAGATATGACTTGAGTTGGGAGGCAGCGAAATGAAGTGGATCCACAAACTAGGTTTTTAGATAATGGATGGGCCCTGTAATATATGCAATTTGAGAGCCAAGAAGACTGCGTATGCTGACAAGACAATGTATGTGACTAAAAGTGTGGAAATGTGGGTGCTTTGTGGTTATTATCTGTTTGAAGGACAGAAGAAGATGAATCCCCTTGACCTGACAGCACTTTTACAATAGGGTTGTCTAAAACTGGGAGATTACTTCGGCTGGCAGTGTGTACTTGGAAGACAGTCTAAAAAATTCAATGTGAAGAATAAGCTTTATAAGCTTTAGAAAGTGCTTCAGAACCTACTGTTTTATTGACGTCTTAAGAAAATTAAATATATAGCTTTGTCCAAGGATAGTGTCTTAAGCTCCTCAGAACAGTGAGAAGAAAATAAAAAAAGGCAAAAACCAGTAATCCATTAATGTGATTTTAAACAACACGTGAATCATCTGAAGAGCAGATCAATATGACACTGTACAGCTTTATTTTAAATAGCAGCTTTCCTGCAAACAGAATTAAATAATGTATAAGAAACTGGAGGGTGCATGTCTGTAAGCGACTGACCATGATGTAAGGATTTTATAATTTGAATAAATGAAGATACTCACAAGGCTGTTTAACCTAGAAGGAGAGAAATTAAGAGACTGAGAAGAAAAAAAAAATAGTGTTTTCATGTACTGAAGATATCAAAAGTCAAGAAGGCAGAGAAGCAAACGGCACAGCTTGAAATGAAGGGGTTTCTGCTGTTAATACTGAGGTGGTAGGGAACGAGCAAGAAAAGAGGCGTTGAACGAAATGAGTGAAACAGGAGGAGGATCAGGCCCACAGATTAAATCCTAAGAGTGGAGAGTTGTGAAAACTAGCAAAGTTATTTCTGCATGCTCTCTCTTCGAGCCTGGGCTGTATTCTCTCCTGGGTTCAGATCATTTGCAGTATCATAGGTATATAACTAACACATAAACCAGAGGATAGTGACTGCAACAAGGGTCAGGTGAGACAACAGCGCTCAGTGCACATGAAGTGGCAGGCGGGGGACACACATGTCCTGCACGCGTGGAAAGCCTGATGTCCACAGCACGGCAGGACCACGGCCCACAGGGTTGCAGGGACAGCTCCGCGGACAGAGGAAGGCGTGCAAGGGCATCCGTGTAAAACCACACGTGAGTCCGTAGCATGCAAGGACTGCAAAACCAGGCGTCAGTCGTGTGAAAGGAGATGTCCTTGAAGTTTCAGTAAATTGAATGGGCTTGGTAGGCCCATAGCCAAGGACAGGCATGAACACACTGGGACTGGAGGGAGCAGTGGAGGAGAGGGAAGAAAAACCTTTGCTTGGCTTGAAGCCAGCTCCCATTAAGTCTCCATCTATGGCTTCAAACAAGGGAATCAAATGCAAAGCTTGACTAATGGAAGGAGATCAAAGTGATTATTCTTTAGATCAGTTGCCTCCCCGCTGGCCCTTGAGCACAGCCAGTGTTGAAGGCAGCCGAGGATCCCCACTAGCACTAGTGGTGGTGGAGTGATGGCAACGCCACCGATGATGCAACAGATGGAAAGGCCCTAGGGCAGAGAGGTAAAGCAGGTGTCATTAGTTCCTGTCCTGGAAGGTTACAGAGATTCAACTTTATTCATTTTTAAACCAATTTAGTTAATCTGGTGCAAATCCTTGTGTGAACACATTAAGAGCTGACTTGAGATAGACCAAAATGATGAAAACCTGCCTTGCAGAGACTTAAGGAGCTTAGACTACTTCGTTTATCCCACAGAAGGTGAAGAGGTGACTTTATTATTGTCTGCAAGTCCATACGTGAGAGAGAGAGATTTGATGGCAGACAGCTTTACAATCCAACAGAAAAAAACCCTTCCTTTCTGGTGGGTGGGAGCTGAAGCAAAACAGAGACTAGAAATCAGGTCTACAGTTTTGCAAGGAGGGAGTGAACCAGAGGAATAAATTCCCAGGGATGGAGGGACTTGATGGACAGGTATCAGGAAGCCGTGAAGGCACCAACTTCCCTTCTTCAGCCCCAGGAGTAAGTCAGGCCCTTACTTAAGAGGATTGCTTCACTGAGCAGCCTGTGTAAAACCCACGTTAGATGCCTGTGTTAGGTGGACAAGGGCTGGCTTCCACTTGCTTTATGGTTCACTGATTTTTTTAAACCAAATGACACTCAAGACAAGAGTGTTTTTTTTAAGCTGCCCTACTTGCACCTATATCCAGTAGATTTGCAGCCTTTGCTTTCAGCAGATGAAGTGGAACTGGTCATTTTTGGTTTCCCAGTGGCAGATGAAGGAGGGTAGGAGAAAGAAAGATCAGTTGTGTCATCCTAGAGCATAAATGGAGAGCAGTGAAAGTGGGTGAAGAACGGGGTCTAGGGGACCTGAGGTCCTAATAGTGAAATTCATCCAGAAGGAGGACGATTGTTTTTGTACTCTGAACCTTTCTCCAGTGTTCCTATAGACGTGGTCCTCATCACACCCAGCCCCCAGCATGTGTGAAGGATATAACCCCTCCTTCCCAAAAACTTATTAGGAGGATCAGAAAGCCATTGGCTGGAACGTATCAGTCTTGGGAACTGTGGCCGGCCGGGCACTTCTGCCAGCACCGGGGAAGGCAGCAGGGCTGCTCCCCATCCCATCTCAGACCACTTCAAGTGGCCACAAATGTTCCTGGTGCTAGGTCACAGCGGATGGTGTGAGGCCCTAAGTATTGGGTGGCAGGTATAATTTGTGTCTTAGAAGCTGAGGAACTAGAAAAGCACATTAGGTCAGTTCGCCTCAGCTCTATGTCTTTGCACAGTTTCTAGCCAATTATCACCAATTTCTTAACCAGCTTTTATGATACCGTAAGACATCAACAATAAATTACCAAGCCCCAAATTACTATAGTTAGCAAAGCGTAACCCAAAAGCAACGTATGAAACTTTATATTATGCAACGTTTTTGCCTATCTGCTAGGATGGGCGAGTGCTGCCCCGAGCGCTGTGGGCAAACGCGGGAGCTGCAGCGTATGGTGCCTGGCCTGCAGGAGTTGCTTGTGCCGTCAAGCGTGCATCTGCAGGCACGAGTTCGGTACCAAACGCGAAGAATCAGCCCAATATAGGTGTGTCACCTTGAATGCTCCCAGCGCCATGTTGTTTAATCTCATTATTTCTCCCCTTTGATCACTTTGTTGTAGATGAATTTAATTTCTCAGTAACTAATTTAGAGCATTGTACAAGGCAGTTCTCCATGCTCATTATAAGGGACTTTCCTCATCTTTTTTAGTTACAGTTTGCCTCCCTCTTGCTTTTGCTTCATTTTTATGAGTGTGTTAATTACTTTCAGTTATATTACTTGGAAACTCATTAATGCATTTTCATTAAGCTCATTATTTTGTGCTGTTTCCACCATTTATATCTTTTGTCCCTTTTATTTTCCGCAAGTTTGGGCAGTGAGGATTTGAGGGACATGTTGCAAAGGGACAACTCCCCTGTCACTAAATCTTTTTTTACAGATGGATTCATGTCCATGGATTCATTTCGTGTTTGCATGTTGCATATCACTAATATTAAGAGCAAAAGCCGTGAACGGGTGATGAGGGCTTCTGTTCTTGCAGTCAACAATTCTGAATAATCACTATGCAGGAAACTCCTATTTGACTGAATGTGCCATTACATGGAAATATAGAAGCCTAAAAAAATCACATTATTTTCCACTGTCTCCAAGACTCATTTTAGAGCAGCTATTTGGATCCCTGCCACATTATCTTTAAAAAAAATATGACGTCTGTACTTGTGACATTGTCTAAAATGAATCTTCATCCATGGATTATTAACTGCATATCCCTTATGGTCAATGGCTTAATTAAATCAGATACTGATGACCTTAAAACTAATTTAGCACTTTCATGCATACTCTTTTGTGTTTGCTTCATGTCAAATGTGCATGCAATAGTGAAATCTTACTCCAGCATTAACGTTTGCACCTTCTTGCAATGAAGCACAGTAGCTTGGTTCATGCAGTGAAAATTAAATGGCAGCAACTTATTCTGGCACAAAATGTGCATCGCTGGTCAGTTAACTAGTGTAAAAAGAGCTATCCTGTTGCATTATGTTGCAGGTGAGATGTGTTCCACAAGCTGAACAACTGAAGTATATTAAGAGTTGCCTGCCTGCAGTTGCTATTGGATATCACTGCTCTGATTTGCAAGAATAATCTCATTGTATACTCATTAATAGAAATTAATTAGTGGAAGACATCTCAACAGAGATGTCCAGAGTTTCTTTAGCTTGGACTATGAGATTTAAGAGGCATATACAGAAAATAGAACCGGCTTTCTCTGGGCTTTTCTCAATGTTTTAAAAGCTTAGAAAAAGCATTAATTGTACTGTTTACCAAGTGGCTGAATTTGTAGGATGTTAGAAAATACATTTCCATCTCTGCTTTTCTTCTGCTTGTCAAGCTGCTTTTCTGTTATAGCCCATCCTGCTTTCTCTGCTTGTCTATCCTGTCTTTACCGTTCACCCAGCATTGCATCATCTCAGCTCACTCCGGTTGCTGTTGTCCTAGGTACGATACGATAACGAACCAGTGGGAGACCATCGCTCCTCTGCCAAAGGCCGTCCATTCGGCCGCTGCGACCGTTTGCGGTGGGAAGATCTACGTCTTCGGTGGGGTGAACGAAGCTGGCCGAGCTGCGGGAGTCTTGCAGTCCTACATCCCTCAGACTAATTCGTGGAGTTTTATAGAGTCTCCAATGATCGGTAAGGGATGCGTTGTGTCAGAGTAAACCCATATTGCAACAGAAATCTCTATGCTACAGGTATTGTAATGCCTTTGTGGAAAGCAAATGAGTTGGGGGTGAGGGGAGATATGTTTACAACAGATTGGCAGGAATGCATGGTATATTATACCAGAGAGGCAATTATCTGGATCTTTACTGAAGGCAATTGTCACTCATTAATACAGCTAGTTACCAGCTAGAAGTGATGAGTTCAAAGTAGAGGAGAAAGGAAAGCAGTTATTAGGTATGGACAAGTAGTAATTTTAGATCCCAGAAATCTCAAAGTGCAGTGAAACTTCATCCTGGCATCATGTGTTGCTCCATGTGGTTTTACAACACTGCTCAGTTAATGGATTATTACTCATGGGTTTGTTAAAATGCCATCTGTCCTATGGGAAGTGGCAGTCATTCTTAACTGGGATTTATCAGTGGTGTCCAAAGGCATATGTGCTTCAGAGGCTGAAATCTCCCTGACAGGTAGGTTATTAAAACTGTGTTGATTGCTTTATGATGCCCTCGATCTCACCAACGTCAGAGGTGCAAAATTCCTTCCAAAATCAGGGTAGTGCACGGAAGATTGCAACTTATTTGCTTTCCACAGCGATTTGCACCCTGAGTAAACACCACTTTTGGAAATGAGGTTTAGCGTTCAGCTTCGTGAGGACGTTACTGCAGGGACAGCCGACCTGGGCCACCTGCTCTGCGCTGGGTGGGTGTGGGCAGCCTTTGCTCTGGCTGTACTCAGGCGGCCAAAGAAACAGTGCTCATACAGTCATCGCAGAGAAGCTGCTATGGGGTGGCTTGCTTTTTGCATCATAGAATCATAGAATGGTTCAGGTTGGAAAGGACCTTTACAGGCCATCTAGTCCAACCCCCCTGCAATGAGTAAGGACATCCTCAACCAGATCAGGTTGCTCAGAGCCCCGTCCAACCTGACCTTGAATGTTTCCAGGGATGGGGCATCTACCACCTCTCTGGGCAACCCATTCCAGTGTTTCACCATCCTAAACCTCTTAGTCGCATTGAAACTGTGACATGAGGTGCTTCATTTAAAAAAAATCATGGTCTCAGTACTAAGCCTGGTAGAGTGATAGGAGTAGCAAGTAATAAATTATAGAAGTACAGTTATAAGGTATTCAGGTAAGGCCGAAGCATATTCCGAAAGCTAAAGTAAGCTGCGTTTCGTAATACAGCTTGTTATTATTATGACTCTCTTCTTGGGGTTCCCTAGTAGCTCAGGTCATGAGGAGCTGGTACAGCCACGGCTGTAGCCTCCCCTGTGCAGCCAGTGCTGCTGCTTTCCGACTCCCTTGCTGCTCTTTGTGTCCAGCCTAACATAACATGACATGCATATGATGCAGCATGAAGCGCCCAGCGGGAGGGCGTTAACTGGCAAAAGTCATGTTTATGTAATACAGCAGTGCAAACAACCCTATTGCCTGGCTTTTTCCATCACATGGCTACAGCTGCTGCTGTTCATTTAATCCACTGACTGACAGTATGAGGTTTTCCTGTACTCAAAGCGTATTGCAAAAATGAATGCATTATGCAAAGAGGTATTCCTTTTCCTTACCAAAATAGTACAAGTGCCACAGGACCTAAGAAATCATTCCCTGGGCTTGTTATACTGTCTAGCAGGCGTCAACACCATGCGTGCCTGGAAAAAAATCATCCAAACCATCCAGAGTTGGGTTCGTCATCCATTGTTCTAATGGACGTGTACTATTATTTTCTAACAAAAATACATGAAAGACACCGGAGTGAAGTTAAAAGATGGTATTTATGTTTTGGTGTAAGCAAAGTTAATCAGTTAAGCTGAAGGCATAAAATACACGATGAAATGCAGAGTTGCTCTATGTCTTTGTTGGGAAATGTATAACGTCAATTTATTTGCAAATAAAGCAAAATAACACAGAGCCTGAAAAATTGCACCCTAGTGGAGAATGTCTGGGAAACTGAACTGATGTGATGCCTGATCTTCACTAATAGGCTGTGGGAATACTGGAAATATACTTTAATTTCTCCAGCTCTACAAGAACCGTAGTATCACCTGTATTTGTAAAGTATCCCTCAAGAACTGGATGCTATGCCAAGTGCAGTACAGTCAACATTTGTCTAAAACAAAGGGAGTAGAAGGAGTTTTGGGGTGCTTTTTACAAAATGGAGCTGAGATAAACCCTGATATTATCACTGCTGGGGTGCCTTCGACAGCCTCAGAGCCTTTTTGTGTTGATTTGTGAATTCTTAAGGTGTCCCTCTGAGCTAAATCAACTGAGACATCTGAGAGCGAGTTGTGTTGGTTAAGGTCACCCCAGAGATCAGTGAAACCTGTTTGCCCTCAAATAGGACAATGCATTATTTAAAAACACCTCAAGCATGCTCAGATGTGCAACAGTAGATGCAGGTATTGAAAGTAGCCAAGGTCTCTGGAGATTTTGAGACCAGTAGTACCTGTCTCTAGTCACTGTGGCATTTTATGATAGTAAGTTGAACACAGCATGGCACACGTTTGTGCCCAACAGGTCCATCTCTTCCAAAGCGTCATGTGCCAACCTAACCCAAGGCAACAGTGGCATCAACTATGGCAAGGGGGAGGGTCATTTTTTGGCTAATCTGAATGCAGGTGAAGCAGGCTGGATACTGACATCCTGCCTGTGCAGTGGAGATATGCAGTGTAGGGACTGACAGCAAGTCCACGCAGCTCAGCCCCTGGTCTCTTCTGCCTGGATTTCTTCTAGGAATAAGCAGCAAATTCTTTCCCAGTTTCCATTTATTCTTTAGTATCCACCTGCCAGGAGGTGTCGTGCATGCAGTAGGCATGACGCTCACCAACACATGGTACATGGATGCTTTGGTAGTATTTGGGTAGGTGTTGATTACACACATCCATGTTTGGAGAGGAGAGGGTCTTTCTCAGTGCCCCATCCTTTGCCCTGCGTCTGTCCTCCCCACCTTCTGAGTTGGCAGACGTTCCCACAGCAGCACAGCCCATAGCTTGATGTTACTGGGGTAATAGAGCCTCCCAGGGCTTTCACGTTGCATAGTTTTGGTAAACCACCTTGCATATCCCCTTCTTTTGTTTTAAGCTGTAAGAAGTTTCCTGCTGTTGAGCCAAAGTCCTACAACAGTAAATGAACCCAGGCTACGTACTTGCAGCACCTGCCTTTTTCCATTTCTTGCCAGGCTGTCCTATGTAGCTCTGCTAAAAATGTATTTCATGCCCAGCTCCCTGAGGTTTGTCTTATTTAACGAGATGGCCATAGACACACTGAAGTCAGTGATTGTAAGTAAGCCTAATTATCTTGTCACTGCCTTTTAGTTCACATTGTGCCTTCATGCCAGGGCACTAAAATACACCTTTTCTGATACCTTGAACAGTCAGTGTCTACTGGTGGAATTACAAGGTTTTATTAATGTTTATGGCTTGTAAGAAAACCAGTGTTTAATCATCACCACTGTTAAATTTTAAAATCTGGTGAGACCTATGGGAACACAGAGGTCAGGAACATTTCTGGTTTCTAATCCAAGTATCTAGTTCATCACCATACCATTTACACCTGCAGTGTTCGACTGAAGTGGGACAATCACAGAGCTAAGAATGCAAGAAATATCTGGAAAACAGCGTTAGCAGCGTCTGTGCATTTTTACTGCACCATCCCATGGCTTATTCTGGTTAAAATGCATAATCATTCCCATTAATTTATTTGGACTGTGCAAGAAAAAGCAGATCTTGGCCCTCTCCCCAAGGCCAATAGTTCGGTACCTGTGTATGCGTTTGGCCAGCTCTCACCTAGAAGTCTCAAAACAATGAGTGTTTCATCTCATCCTTCAATGTATTTTTCTTCCCATGACTAGTTCTTAGTGTTTTTCCCACTAGTAAGCTTGAATTTTACTTTCCTTTGTCTCACCCATTTCTCCTCTCTATATGCCATATCCTCCATTCAGAATGGCTTTTTCCACTCCTTGATGTGTTCCTCCTACATGTACTTACTCTGCCCTCTACCCAGCAAAGTCGGTATTTTTGTGTTTGGCCTTTATCAGATGGCCTCCCTTGCACTTCCTACCTCCGCTTCATCTGTGTGGCTGTGCTTTCTCCAACTCTTTTCTGTTCAGCAACATTTTGCCCATAAACCTGACACTGAAACTACCCCACAACGGCAGGTGGAGCCTTCTGCTTTGGCACGGGCGATCCCTGCCACACATAGAGAAAATGCGGTGTTTGCAAGTGAGGACGCTCAACTTCCAGGTCTCTGAGGAAGGTTTGCTCAAGGGTCGTTGGAGAAACCATACGGCCCTGCAACCGATTGTGTAGTTATGAGAAATCAGCTAGCCTGAGAGCACCGTGCCAGAAGAGCTGACATCTGAGATCCTGCTGTTATTGCAATATCTGCGCTTTGGCCTCATGAGCTATGTTAAGGATCAGACCACAGTCTCCCAGCTGCCGCAGGATGTTATCTTATCCATTTCTATGCCATTCTTGAGCTTGTCTGCATAGTATTCAGGGAGGGGAAGAGGCACTTACTATTAAAGGCAGATTTAGTTTGTATTAACTAGTCTCCTTTCTCCAGTCTGCTTCATCATGTGCATGAACCCCACCACCGGCCTCCCGTGCCTGCAGGGAGACCCTTCGGTTGGCGTTACATCTGGACTGGTGGCATGCCCACGTTTCTTCCTCCTGATAAAAATGTTTGACTAGCTTGATTTCAATAACCTGTTACCATATGAAGTGCTGCTGCCATTCATTTTAATGCCACTTCAGGCTCTGACCGAGTGCTTTACTGGAAGGCCATGTAAGATCTTTAGGCAATCACAGAAGGGAAAGCAAAACTGCGCTACTTGACCATATAATGTACCGAGAGATACGAGAGCCACGAAACACATCACAGACGGCATACTGTCGTTACCAAGTGAGGAGCACACCGGTAGGTTAAATTATCAACCCCGTGTGAAGTACACCTCCGGCTCAAGGATTGTCATTGAGTGCATACCCCTTCCTGCAATGACCTGTCACTGGAATAGAAATACTTGCATATTTTCCTATAGCAACAGTAAAGGAGAATGATGTTATCCACTTGGAGAGAAGAGTACCTTTTATCTATTATTTCCTTTACATTTATTCTACCTTTTAATCTCAAGTGTGCTTGCTGTTCTGGACAACACCCATTTAAGATTTTCCAGCCTGAAATGGATTACTATATACAACAGCACCAACGCTTGAATTTTGGAGGGGAGAGGAGGCTGCTTCTCTGTTTCCATGCTTCCTCTCCCCTCTCTTCCTTCCCTCCGGCAGATTTTTGAAATAACCAATGTCCCTGCTGTATCCCACAGTAAGCCTCTGTCTGACCTGTAGAAGCTCATGTTCATGCATTGACCAAAAAGCCCAACCAGAAGATGCTTTTGCAAAATTAGGCTCCCCAGCCAACCACCTTGCACTATGAACACATTAAGGGCTTAGAGCAGCGACGGAAGTTGGAGTCTCCTCAGTGTTTGCGTGAGGTTACCAAGCCCTGGAAAGGACAAGGGAAGAGTGTGGGTAGCACCTGGGATGAAGTAAGGTTAAAGACCGGAGGTGGGCATCCACACCTAGGTAGCAGGAAGGACAGCTTTAGTTTTCTGAGCTCCCTGTATCCGTGAACAATTTCTGCCTCCATGGTAACAAAACAAAAATAAAACCCACTGTTTTCTCTCTACCTGTCTCTGGAGGGGTGTCCCTCGTGTCTTTCTGCCATATCTTCATCAGGATCAGGAGACTGTTTGCTGTGAACTTCTCCCTTCCTGAAAGAAACAGCAGAGATTTCTCTGTTTCTCTATCTCAGGCTTACTTTATACCAATTTATGAAATTGTAGCTAGAGCCAAAAGCCATAAAAAGACAACAGATAGGTGATGTATTGAAAAATTGATGAGAATCAAACACGACTGCCTCTTAAAAAAAAAAGAAAGAAAAAGAATGTAAGACTGTCTGTCTATTTGAAAAGGAAAAAAAAAAATCACTATAAAAATAACCAAGGGGTTTCCCTCTCTTTCTTTAACAAAAAGGAACGTGAAGTCAGTGATTCAGTCTCCTGAGAAGTCGCTGTTTCTGCCTTGAGGGAGCCCCAAATAATTTCCCTATGAGATTTGGGAGCTGAGGGGTTTTTATGCGAGAGTTTCATTCTTCTGCAAAACAGTGCTAGTTGAAGAAAAAAAAAAAACAGTAAGATGTGATAATTAAATATGGAAAATTTCTGATGAGTGTCTTAACTGGAAAAAATGTCACATATGCAAGTCTGATTTGGGAAGGGATGTGAGACGGGTTGTTAGGACAGCTAAGTCTTTCTGATGAATTATAGTGGCTTAGTGGCACCGAGAAGAAACTGAATACTCCTTGTTCTATTTTCTGGATGAATTAGTTTCTTCCCATCTGTTCCCAAGGATCAGTGACATTTTCCTAATACATCCATGTTTTTTGACATATGCCTGTAGATACTCAGCATAATAGGAGCCCAGCTTTAACCCACAACATGTTTTGTCTGTTTTCACACCGGGTGCTGCACCCCGAACGCCCTCCCGGGCATGCACCCATGTAGGGTGAGATGAACTGAGCCAGCCCACCCCACGGCTGTGCTGGAACAGAAGCAGACACCACAAACCCATTACTTTCCTTCTAGTTTAGCCAGTTCAAACCCCAGTTAAGAAAATTATCTCTCTTCTGGAGAAATTAATCAGCTTTTCCTTAACTCGTGCCAAATTAAATCTCTTGTTAAATATTTAATGGAATAAGGTGGTTTTACAAGAACCTCAGGGTTACAAAGCCAGCCGTGTAAGAGGTAAGCAAATGCCAAAAGTAAAGCTGCTGGGGCTACTTAAAAGCCCATCTCTTTCTGTGTTCCTAAAAGGACACAGTCATAGTGTTATAGAGCCGGGGGGAACATGGAGACCCCTTCAATTACGTAGCGGCCGTCACCAGAGATGTAAGAGCACAGTACAGATGATAACGCACCCCCTCTCCAGCATGCTGCCCCGACTCCCCGCGCTCGGGAGGAGGGTTGCAGGGCTGAAGCCAGCAGGGCTGTGTCCAGGCTGATTCTCCACTGGAGGTGCAGGAGGAGCACCCTTTTCTGAGCATATAAAAATGCGGGTTTTGGAGAGACTTTAACATATAGCTACATATGGGTAACTCTTGGAGAAGTGTCCCCTCCCACCAGGGTAGCCACCCAGGAAACGTCTGCTTCACGCCCCAAAGGGCTTAGGCTCCTGTTTCTTAGAGAACTGGTTGTAAGGCTTGTTTTAACTCAAATAAAGCAGTGTGTTTTCCTGTCTTTTGTTCCCAGACACTGCTGATTGGTTTCACTGAAATCTTGATTAAAAAAAAACTGTATTGTATCAAGACAGACACCATCACAAGAAATTTCAGCCCAACTGGCTCGTATTTAATAATGTGCATATGGCATGCTAGCAGCATACGGGACAAGTCAACTAATTAAATTAGAATTATTTTATTTGATAATTTATGGTTAGTTTTACCAATATTTCTAATAATGCCACAGTTAACACAAGAATTTTAAAGCATCCTTGGAAACTTTGATTGAACTTGACTTTGGATAAGGGTTACGATAAGCTTAATTTCAAACTCCAACCTCACACAGTTCGTTGCTAAAATACAGGACTGCTTAGAGGTACACACACATCTGAAAATAAAAATGCAGGTGAATTTACCAGACAGATGAAGGGGAAAAAAAAAAAATCAGGTCTCAGAAAATCTTCTGGATTATGTGGGTGACCTTCCCACAAGCAAAAGCAGAATACAAAAGAGAACCAACTACTGGATATTATTAAGCAGGTCGCTGCGCTGTGGGTTTCTTCTGTACTTAGCTGCGGCACAGGCATGGGAAGCATCTGATTTAAAATTTGCAGCAATTCAAAATTCTGAAACAACTTGACATCTTAATTTCATATGTAAGAGTGGAGCTTTCACGGTGACTCCATTAGGCTTCGGGAGAGGATAATTGTACTTTACCAGTTTAGAGGGAGGCGCGTACTGGGGGATGAAGGACTGATGAACTTTAAAAGTGCCTTTGAGAACTTGGAAAGAGAAGAACAAAACCAGGAAAGGTTTCCTCATAAAAAGCCTTGGAGGTTTAGAGAAACGTGACTTATCTACAAATAAGGGGAATGTATAAATAAAAAAACAGTCTCCAAACCTGAGCCTAAAACTGATCTCAGTGTTGCTTTCCATTGACAGATAACAAATATGCTCCTGCAGTCACTCTCAATGGGTTCATCTTTATTCTTGGAGGAGCTTATGCACGAGCAACCACCATCTATGACCCAGAGAAAGGCAATATTAAAGCAGGTCCCAACATGAACCACTCCAGGCAGTTCTGCAGGTGAGAAAAAACATTAAAATTATTACTGGTGCCTTAACATTTTCTGCTGATAAATAAGCTAATACTACCTAACAGTGAAGGGGAGAGGGGAAGGGAGGTGTGTACCGTCTGGGGTTTTCCTCATCTCTTTTTGTACATGTTCAGGGACACAGCATTTCCCAAAGTGCGCATCCAGGACCCTACTATGGTTCATGTGTCTCTTCACATTCAGGTGTGATGGATCGTGGGCAAGGGACGTGTGTTGGGCTCCTCCAGCAGACTACAGGAACACTGTTTTCCTCAGTTTGCCATGTGTAACCGGAGGATGATAGATACCCCCTGTAGGAGAGACCACCATAATGTGGAACATATTTTGGCTAACTAGCTAAAAGAGCCTTGAAAAAAAAAAAAATACTGAGTAAGCACCACACACTGGTATTTATTATTATTTATTACGTGCTTTTGATTGCTTTTTGGGCTCGCTTCCCCAGTCCCGGACACAGGTTTAACAAACTTCCCAAATTGGCTGACAAAAATAAAACTTGGCACCCGTCGCAAGTACTGGCAGAACTTAAAGGCCTTTTAAAAAGTATTATGTGGCTGTTACAGAAAGACGGGCTTGTTTCAGGCATTGTTCAGCGCCAGCCTCTCACAGAGCAGTTCCCTGCACGGGGGACTGGCCAAGCTGTTGGTTTCACAGGGAAAAGCCGTGGCTGGACCACAAACCCTGCCGCGGGCAGCCACGGGCACCGGGTGAGGGTTTGTTATCCATGTCGGATGCAGTAGCGTCTCAAGGCACTGAACAAAACCAGGGCAGAGGGGTTGTGCTGGGCGAGTGCCCGAGTGAAACACTGGCCGGGGTGGGAGGAGTAGCAGCGATGGGGCAGCAGCTGGGCCCGCAGTGGACCCGCATCTCCCAAATGTTCAGCCAGCAGCTCTGCCCTGCTCCTTGCCCCAGGGGTGTCCCTAGCCCCCATCCTATGGTTGAAAAACACCTCCATGTTTTAACTTGTTGCATTTAACCTTTCACTTTGGTGCGGATGAGAAAATTCCTTTTTAAGAAAGAATGCTCAGTTTTTCTCTTTTTGCTTTTTTTTCTGGTTTTCTCCCTTTTTTCCCGTTTTCTCCTTTTTTTCCCTTTCTTTTATTAATTTAAGGAGCGCCCTCTCTTGGCTGCTGAAGCATATTTTGTTGTATGTAAAGGAGTCCAAGCAGCCGGCTCATGCTCAGGCAGCTGCTAATGATATTTTTCTCCTGAAAACCAGAAATAAAGGGTATGGTGCAGCTCAGGATTAGAGCCCTAACCAGTAAAATGAAACGCGAGGGACTTTTACATTTGATACATTCTCTGTCTTCCCATAGAGGGGGGTGAACTGCCCCTTGAACATCTCTGTTTTACAAAACATAACAAAAATCTGTTAAGTATCAGGAATACACTACAATAGAAATTGCGTGGGTGATTTCAACCAGGGGCTGTTGGCTGAGCATCTCACCTGAGAACTTCCCAGGGCTTCTAACATGGAAGGGGTGCTTTGGTCTGCACCCTGCAGAAGGGAATCCAGTGGGAGACCTTGTGATGGACCAAGGAGAGTAAACCAGTGACCTCAATATCAGCTGCTGCTTAGGCACCGTAATAAACTGGCTTTGCTTAAGTAGAATATGACACCCGTCAGTAAAAAGTAACTTTTAAATGACATTTTTTCTAAAGCCTAAAGCAATAGTGGACTGGAAACCTACATTTACAGTGGGATAGTGACTGAAAAAAGGAATATTTCAGTACATCCCAATTGGATGGCAAAAAGGCACAACTTCAAAAATTCCTAAATGTGCTAGGAAACGGTCAAGGAAAAGTATTTAAGCCAAAAGGAGATGTAAAACCTACGACAAAGACTAAATAAATCAGTATGTATGGAAATAGGGAAAATGGGAGGTTAGCAGTAACAAATAGGTTGAAAACTGGCTGCTGCTACAGGAGACTGAGGGAACCGGTAAAGAACTAAGAGCTAATAGGACTAAAAAGAAAGGCACTTTAAATCTTTTGGGATCAAATTTTTAATTTTAATCCGTTATAAAACCATTGCTGATGAGATTGATGAAGTAGCAAACTGTAACACAGACCGATCGGATGGATATTCCTCATCTGTATTTCAAAGTGAGCAAGAAGGTTTGGTTCCATAATCTCCTGTGAGGGACCAAAAGCGGTCACTGTTGGCAGCAAGGAAAGATGTGAACTCAGAAATTAAGTTCTCAAATCAGGCAACCCAGCTGTCTTAGACACAGGCATCTTTAGAGACTTTGCTGAGAAGCTGATTGGACCACTAATGTTGATTTTTAATAACTTAGAGTTCAGGATGGATCAGGGCCCTGCCAAAGTGCTTCTGTATTTTGAAAAGGTGAAAGGGAGAACTTTTAGTGCAGCAATAAATTTTGCAAAGTCCTCTGCAAAATACCAGAGTGGTTAATTTGGGATTTAGGATCACAGAATCATAGAATCATTTAGGTTGGAAAAGACC